TGCCTAATCTTCCTCCCTATCGATTTTCTGAGAAGGATTTAGCTTGGAGAAGGAGGACGTTTTGTGCCCTGCTGAACGTGCTGTGTTTGCAAAAGGACATATTAGGGAAGAAATTGGATGAAATGGAATCCAAGAGAGTGGCATATTCTGAGTCTTCCTAAATCTTGCCTTCTTCGGCGATGAACTTTTTTAATATGGTGGTTCTTCATTAGTTGATTGCCAGCAAAGAAAGTCTAGGAAAATGGGATGATTTATCCTTGTAAATAATGTGCCCCCACCAAAAAATATATATGTTTAATGAGAACAATGTGAGTGCAACAACCCCAAATCAAAATAAGACAAACTTAAATTTGTTTATAACTGACATGCTTCCCTGTACCGCGTGAGAAGACTTGTATGGGAAGATTGTGTTTGGTTTTATTAACCGGACTAAAGATGCCTCGTTGCTCTCAGAGATTGATTTTCAAACACATTGAGAAATGTTTGAATCATCATAAAAGTTAGTAGCGCTTTAAGAAAATTTAGTAGGCCTTGCTTACGTTTAACGAACAAATAGTCATGAAGATTAATTTTTATCTCTCTAGTTCCACCCTAGAATCTCACACTAAATTATTTTGGGGAAGCCGGTCTATTTGGGGGGAATTGCTTGTTACTAACTACCCATTATTATTCTTCCCATCTAGAAACAAGCCAATGACCTTGTGAGCACCCTCATGAAGTGCACACCCCACTATATCCGCTGCATAAAGCCCAATGAGACCAAGAAGCCCAGAGACTGGGAGGAGAGCAGGTATGGTGAGGAGACGACGGGGAGGCAGAAGCAAGTTTACTGGGCTCCACGCATTGTCACTCTGCTCAAGATCATGGCTGCAAGGCAGGAGCTAGTTTTGTAAACTGCCCCCAAATGGGTGTATAACGCCTTTGAGAGTAAAGCCTGTATATTTACAATTGCAGCTGTTATCGTCTCTGAAAATGTTAGCGGTACCATTCAGTTCAGAATGAGCCATTCCTAGTGTTGATTTTGGCTAGTCTGGGGCAGATTCAAAATAAAAATAAAATCCCACAGAGCCATAACGGTTACAAAATGAGTTTGAGGCTCTGGGTAAGACCGTCTTGGTCCACTCGGCTCCTGACTGGGGCCCACAGGATGTGGCTGAGAGTGTTTAGCTCAAGCTGGAAACTGGTTACACAGCAGCAGCTGCTGTTTGCTGGTGCCCTGGGGGCTGCTGGGCGTATGTTCTTGGTTCTGGTTAGCCACTAAGGCCACGGAGCTGTGCCTGGGAGGGGAGAAGGCGGGGCACAGGTGTGTGTGTGTGTGCAAAGTCATTTCCTCTTTGATTTCTGGGTGGGCCGGGGTCCACTGTTCCACCCATAGCCGACATTTGGGGTCTTGGTCTGTGCCAGATGGCATGGACGTGTTCAGTCAGATGAATGTTAAGCCGATGACCAGAGATGTCTGTCCCCAGAGGGGGGATCATTAAAACAGGCTTTATCTCATTATCCACAGGAAAATGGGAGGAGGGCTGGGGAGGGGAGTTGAGACTAGAAAACTAGGACAACAGAGAAGACCCTGCCTATAGGCATGACATGACCCAGTCTCTAGCTGGGGCAGATCAGAATTGCTCTCCATTTTCTCGAGGAGAGACAAGAAAAGTCTCCTGTAGGGGTCAGGTAGCTTCGTATTGAAGTTCAACAGGAGCACCAGGATTGAAATTCACAGCTGCTAACGACCTCCTCACGGTGCTCTGACGGCACTGTGGTTAGCGCTCAGCCATGCCACAGGCGACAAATGCAGCAGTCTGCTTCCAGAAAGATCCAGGTGGTGGGTGGTCTGGTTAGGTGCCATCGAGGCAGTGCTGATGCAGAAGGAAGGGCTGCCCCGTCCTGCACCAGCCTCGCACTTGCTCCTAGGCCTGAGCCCATTGCTGCAGCCACCGTGTCAATCCCTCTCCATGAGGACCTCCCTCTTTCTTGCTGCCCCCTGCTCATAGCAACCTTATCGAGAGGTTTCCACGGCTGTGGGTGCTTATGGGAGGGAGCAGATGGCCTCATCACCCGAGTCGGAGGAAAGACAAAAGGAACAGCCCCTACTGCCAAGGACCTCTTGGTCTCATAAAATGACTGAAGATTCTAAACCTGAAGCACAAACGTCCTTTCTCTCTGGAGGAAGAGGGGAGCCAGGTGGCGCTAGGGGTTAAGCATTGGACTGCGAATCAAACGGTGGGCAATTCGAACCTTGCAGCCACTCCGCCAGGGAAAGATGAGGGAGAAAACCAAGAGGCAGAATTTACTTGTTAGCAGTGAGTTTGAGGCTTTGGTGGTGTTATGGAGAGAGAGAATTTCCCATGAGTCTTTAGAAAGGATTGTGTAGCACAGATGGTAAGAAACACGACAGAGTCCCAGTGATGGGAAGATCATGAATAGCAACTCCAGTCTGACCAATGAACGCTCCCAGGGCTGTTCTCCCTCCATGTCTGTCAGGCTGCCTCTGTTTCTTCTGCACTTATCCCTGTGCACATGCATCGCATGCACATGTGAGCATCTACAAGGGAATTACAAGAGTGTGGGAACGAGGGGTCCTTTTCCTGTGGCCTGAGCCCTCCATTCCCAGCACATTCCTGTGCCTCCATTTGTCTTTCCTGTTCCTCCTTCCTTCCCAACAAGCAAAACCTTCCATGAGAGCACCTCACTTGGCCTTAAGAATGCAGCACATCCCTGGTCATCCTCTCCTCTTCCCGAAGTACCATGCTCTGCTTAAAGGCCCTTTTTGTACCCATTGTGCTGTAGGAACTACCCGAGACAATCATTGCCTCCTTCTCAAACTCAGACTGAACCGTTGGGGATCAGAAAGCAGAGCAACTAAGAGAGGGTTTCGTTTTCGTCAGTAAACCCTAGTAAGATTTCTCCCCAGTGTCTCCCCCTTTTAAATGTTGTCACTAGCACAAACGTATTGAATTGCAGCAAAGGAGTTTCATGGCTCTAGTATACCCATGCAAGCTGATTTAAGAAGCCTAAAGGACTCTTTGGTGAAGTGTTGATTTCTGTTTCCTGCAAGATCACTGGTTCTGTGAGCCGTCTAATGGACAGTTTCCCTTCATGGACGGAAATGTTGGTTAACATCTGAGCGTTGAGCTTTGGTGTCAGGAAGGCCCGCGTGCTGGCTGACAGGGCTTCATGCTTCATTGAAGTCCCTGGTGAGCGGGATTACTCATTCCCCAGTTTATGGGGTTTGGGATTTTTTCTTTTCCTGTTGAAAATGTGTGTTTTTGTTTGGCTTCTGGCAGTGTTGCTTGCCCTGGATTCTGAATTGCTGCCCCAGCAGAGTCTCGGGTCTTGACCTACTTGAGTGAACGGCTGAGCAGAATCTCGACTAGGATGGCCCAACGGAGGGACAAAGTAGGGCAGTGGCAGCCTTGTTGATGCTCATGATGGGGATGGTGGCACAGCAGGAAGTGCAAAAATCAACTCTGCTCCCTTGGTTATGTGAAATTTTAAATATTCCAGGATTTGCTAAACTGATTGCCCTGCTGAAGAGAGCTTCCTGATTGTGGATGTTCCAATGAATGAAAACGTCTTACCCTGAGGAATATTCTTTCCTCTGTGGTTGATTCGAAAGGAATGTTTCTGCAGAAATCGATCGATCTCTCAGCTTCAAACCTGTAGCATAAGGCCAATATTTAGGAACAGTACATTAAAACCAGCACACATCTGGAGTGGGCAGTTCCATCTGTATTTCCTTCCGAGGGAAAAGCCCAGTGGTGATTTGGAGGAGAAGAAATGTTCATTGCTTTCTTGAATCAAATTTCAAGTATTTGAGATAGACAATCCCCCACCCCCACCCCCCACCCACCCCCAAGGAGATGTCATTAGGCTATGTCCCGATCAGGAGGTTGAATTCCAACCATCACACCAGTCAAGTGTGGATCTTGAATATTGATTCTTTCCTATTAAATGTTAGTTGGAAGCAATGATGGGTCAGTGGCCAAATTCTCTGCTTCCATATGGGAGACAGACCCGGGCTCCGTTCCCAGCAGACAATGCATTTCATGGAGACTTGGTGGTGGTGAGGATGCTGGCCAGTGTCAGCACACCCTCCAGATAAAACTGACCAGGCAGAAAGGATTGGTGATCTACTTCTGAAAGTCAGCCAGTGAAAACTCACCATGGTTGTATCTACCACTGATCACAGGGACAGTACAGGACTAGCCAGTGTGTCCTTCCATTGTGCCTTGGGTCACGGTGGCTTGGAAACAATTTCATATCAGCCAGCAGCAACAGATGTTCATTATCTTGGAAGGGTACATATTTGCGGATGTTAGCCGTAGTAAAATCCACCAGATGTTACGCTTCTTAAACATTCCTCGCTGTGTGACCTCATCCAAGCCTTGGCAGTCAAGGCTGCAGACCCTCTTTGAGCTCCATTTGCCTTTCTGCCGCCGCCTCTTTCCACCATCATGAAGCCGAGCGTTGTTATAAAATGTAAAAGTTTTAAAATGAAAACAACTCACTGCCATCGCATTCATTCCAACTCAGAACAACCCTACAGTCAGACGCTCTATAGGACAGAGTAGAACTACCTCTTTGGGTTCCCAGGTCAAGAATCTTGTCTGAAGCAGGACGCCTCATCCTTTCCCCTCAGAGCGGCTGCTGGGTTCAAACTGCTGACCACCTGGGATACCACCAGGACTCTGTGAAACGACTCCAGTACCATCAAATTCACAAGTTCTTTTGAAAATATCAGTCTTTTGGTTCATATGGGTACATGAGTTTTTGTTTTGTTTTTATTCCTTGAGATAGCTTTGTGGTGCCTCCTTCGATAGCTGCTGTATTTCATACTACAGCGTTTTGTGTAGATTAAACATCAAATGAATATCATCTAAGAGGTCCGGTCCGTCTCAGATGGTCATGAATTGTAGTATTTCAGGGTATTTCGGTATAGATCAGAACTGGAGTTGTGGAAAGGTGGCACGTCGGGGTGAGGACTGGGAGGATCGCTCAGGGATGACCTGGCTCCGTCTTCTTCCTGGCAGGGTGAAGCATCAAGTAGAATACCTGGGTCTGAAAGAAAACATCCGCGTGAGAAGAGCTGGCTATGCTTATCGACGCATCTTCAAAAAATTCTTGCAGAGGTAATGGGCTGGGGACTCGGACTTCTTGCTTCTTCCTGTGTCGTAATAACTTTGCGAGAGAGAATTCACTTACCATCAATTAATCCATTGAAAGTGTACACTTCTGTGGCTTTGGATATATTTGCACAGGATACATCTTCCTGCCCCAATCAATTTTTCACTTGTCTCGTCACCCCAGCAATAAGGCATGCTGCCCTTGGCCTTTGCACCCCATCCACCCTCTTCTCTGCACCTACTGAAACTCACCGCCTTCAAGTGCGTGCCGGCTCACAGTGACCCTCTAGGATGGGGCGAACTTCCCGCGCGCTTCCTCGGCTCACTGTTTATGGGAGTAGAAGACCCCGACGCTCTCCCGAGGAGGAGCTGGTGGTTTCTAACTACCGACCTTTTGGATCCCACCCAGGTCGTAACCACTACACCACCAGGGCTCTTCCCTCTGTTCCCAGGCCCAGGCGGTTGTTATTCTAATTTCCACCTCTCTGTTGATTCCCTCCTCTGGGCTTTCAGACCAGTGGAACCCTGCAATATGCGGTATTCCATGACTAGACTCCCTCCTTAGCAAATGTTTCAAAAGTTCATCCATGTTATCGTATGTATTAGTCCTCTATCCTTTTTTTATTGCCAACTAATACTCCTTTCTAGCAATATACCCCATTTGATTTACCCATTCATTTGTGAGTGAGCATTCTGGCAGCTTCCATTTGGGGGCTATTAGAACCAGTGCTCCTACGAACACTCATATACAAGTTCACGTGTGGGCGTGTGCTATCATTTCTCTTTGATGTGTACCTAGGAGAGGAACTGCTAAGCCCTATGTATCACCTGCCAGGCTATTTCCCACAGCAGCGACACCACTTTTCATTCCTCCTAGCAGTGTGTGATGTTTTCTTGCCAGTGCCTGACAGCACCTGGCTCTTTGATTCCAGCCCCGTTTCTGGGTGTGAAGTGGCATCTCACGGGGGTTTGCATTTTCCTGATGATGGTGATGTTGACCATCTTACCATGTGCTTATTGGCTATTTGGATATTGCCTTTGGTGAACTCTCTGCTCAGATATGTTTTGCCCATTTTTACAAATTACATTATTCATCTGTTAGTAAGTTGTAATAAACTCCTGTTCCACAATTGACTATAAAAAAAGTCAGGGTCCGAATTTATTTAGCAAGGTCTCTATTTCGTGTGACACGCAAGTTCAGGAGCTCATGTCTGTGACACGGTAAATTACTGGTATGAAGAATAATTTCACGGAAAGACTTCTTAAGAAAACAAATGCAGAACATCAGATAGCAAATAGTTTTATATGCCCTTGCATACATTTTTAACTAATTTTTATTTTTCTATTAAAGTGTATTTGACTGCACCTACACTTGAATGGTTCTGACCTACTATCTGGTTACTATTAATAGCCCCTGGTGGCATAGGGGCTTATGCATTAGGATGCCAGCTTCAAGGTGAGCTGTTTGAATCCACCAGATGCTCTGTGGGAGAAAAATGAGGTTTTCTGCTCCCGTAAAGATTACAGTCGTTGAAGCTCAAAGGGGCAGTGGAACTCTGTCCTGGAGGGTTGCTGGGTCAGAATCCATTCTATGGCAGTGAATGTCTGGCTATTGTTGTTGTTGATGATGACGAGGAAGATGTCATAATTTATGAAAGAGTAAAATATAGTGTCCAAAGACGTTTTATGATTCTGATTTTTCTAATCATTCTAAAGTAGTAGAATTCTGTTTTCTACATCTGTTTAATTTTATTTCAATCAGAAACTTATTGTGTCTCCCTTATATATATGAGTGGCAGGATATAAATGTTTTTAAAATTAAAACGTAGGAAATAAATTAATTAGAAAAGGACAGCTATTTTATGACCTCACAAACATGAAATCCCAAGGAGCCCTGGTAGCACAAGAGTGACGGCCTCAGATACTCGCAGGCACAGTGGCATCTGTCCTGTCGGGCTGCTGAGAGTCGCATCACCTCCATGCCAGCGAGTCCTGGGAAATAACAGGAAGAGGTCACATGCAGAGAGAGCACAGTTTTTTTTTGTTTGTTTGTTTGTTTTTAACATTTTATTGGGGGCTCATACAACTGTTATCCCAATCCATACACACATCAATTGTGTAAAGCGCATTTGTACATCGTTTCTCAAAACATTTTCTCTCCATTGAAACCCCCGACATTAGGTCCTCATTTTCCCCCTCCCTCCCCACCGCTCCCCCCTCCCGCATGAGCCCCTGATAGTTTATAAATGGGTATTTTGTCATATCTTGCCCTGTCCGACGTCTCCCTTCATCCACTTTTTGGTTGTCTGTCCCCCAGGAAGGAGGTCACACACAGTTCCATGTAATCGGTTCCCTCCTTCCTACCCATTCTCCCTTTACCCTCCCTGTTTCACCACTCACACCACTGGTCCTATAGGGCTCATCCGTCCTGGATTCCCTGTATTTCCAGTTCCCATCTATACCAGTGTACCTCCTCTGGTCTAGCCAGTCCTGCGAGATAGAATTCGAGTCGTGGTAATGGGAGCGGGGAAGAAACCTTTAGGAACTAGAGGAAAGTTGTATTTCTCATCATCGCTACATTGCACCCTGACTGGCTCATCTCCTCCCCGAGACCCCTCTGCAAGGGGATCTCCAGTGGCCTACTAATGGGCTTTGGATCTCCACTCCGCACTCCCCCCATCATTCACTATGGTAAGATTTTTTGTTCTGATGATGCCTTACACCTGATCCCTTCGACACCTCGTGGTTGCATAGGCTGGTGGAGAGCACAGTTTTTGTGGCTACCAGGAGCAGGAGAGAGGGTGAGTTTCTTTAGTGAATGTTGTGGTGATGGGAAAATGGGCAGTCTTTATGGGTGGTGGTCTCATAACATGACTAATGTAACTGATATATGTGTGTATAAAATATTATATAGATAGTTAGCTATATACTATCAAACACATTATAAATATTTCATATGTATAAAAGCATTTGCCACCTCACCATTTTTCAGGTGTACACCCAGTCATCCTCTGATTTCTCCTCCCTCTGATTTCCACCTCCGTCTCACATAGTCAACTGTATCACCTTTAAAAGAAATGCTGACATATAAGCGATTCTGTGGCTTGCTCATAGTTCAGTGATTAGAGACCCATTAGAGTTCAAATCCTACCTCTGATACTTAGTAGCTCCTTGGCCTTGGGTAAGTTTCTATTGTTTCCGTTTGCTACTTTGTAAAACTTAAGACCAAGCTCATCCGCGGCTTTAAGAATAAAAGGAGATCAGTCACTGACAGGCTTCAAGAACAGCTCCTGAAGCCGACAGAGAAGCAAACTCACTGCCACTGTGGGGATTGCAACTCGCCGTGACCCTGTAGAGAGGATAAAACTGCCCCACTGGGTTTCCAAGACTGTTTATGGGAGTTATGTAACTGTTTCTGGGAGTAAAAAGCCACATCGCTCTCCCACAGTGCAACTGGTAGATTTGAACCGCTGACCTTGCGGTTTGCAGCTTAACACATAACCCACTACATCACCAGAGCTCCTTGGAACAGACCGAGCATCCCATAAATGCTAACCTGTAATGCTAGCTACTCTACCATGTGCTGAGTGTTTGAAAGGCTTTTTGTGCAATTATGAGTCATCCAGACACGGACCCCACCCATTCTCATGCAGGCTTTGTCCCTACCAGGCAGGCATAAATGAACCAAATAGACACATGCATGAATATCATTACACATTACAACACATGATTTGAAGGAAAAATAGTATGGAGGGGGGGCACTTTGAATTGTGTTCCCCGGGCTCTCTGGAAGTCTCCCTGGAGGTGAGTCTGAAAACCCACGGGCAAGGCAGCCGAAGGAGGAGTCTGGAGACCGGCCGCAGCAGCAAGGGAAGGCTCTGAGGCAGGGGTTATCGTAACGTGCACAAGGAACAAACCAGCCTGTCTAGAACATAGGGAAGCAGGCTGGAGAAGGCATGGGCTTAGAGAAAAGCCAGGGACCAGATCCTGGTGGCTGCCAGACTCCAGGTGGACGGGAATCGAAAGAGGGACGTGGATGCCTAGATAGGGAGCGGGCCATAACGCCCTCACATTGTTATGTGCTCTGAAGACATCCGAGGAAATTAGTGGTGAGAAAAAGACTTTTCTTTTGCCCCAAGGAGTGCTGTTGGTGACCTTCAGCAGTGCTATTTTTAAACACTGGTAGAGAGGAAAGCAGATTCTCACTGGTCGTTAGCATGGTAACGGTCAGCGTGGGCAGCAGCTCTGTGATGGGCATCCGGGTCCAGAGGATTTTCCTGTCACTGAGGTACACCTCTGCAGGCCTTTGAGCAGTGTGCCATGGGTCCCTAGACCCCGGGGCCCCAGTGCTTTCTGCACAAGCTGCTGCTGTCTCCTGGGTGGTCCCATCTGAGCCTGACCCTCTCTCCTTCCTTGGCCTGACAGATACGCCATTCTCACGAAAGCCACTTGGCCTGCCTGGAGAGGAGACGAGAGGCAAGGAGTCCTCCACCTGCTGCAGTCGGTCAGCATGGACAGTGACCAGTTCCAGCTCGGGAGAAGTAAAGTGTTCATTAAAGCCCCGGAGTCTGTGAGTACGCCCAGGCCTCCAGCCTCTCGCTCCCTCCCTGAGCACCCAAGCACACACCAGCCCTTCCTCGGAGCCTCTCCACCCGCCCCTGCCTTGCTAGGTGGCTCCCTCTTTCTTTTTTCTCATTGTTCCTTCACGGATCTCTTGGAAAAAGCAAGGCTTCCAGCCAGTTCTAATGGTTCAGTCATGGCCAAAGAAGTGAGATGAGACCAGACTGAGTTTTAAAATGGGGATCATCAGGAACACTCGCAGTTGGGGGGAAACTGCAGGTCAAAGACCTGGAGGGGAGACTTAGAGGACTTTCAGGAGCCTGATGCGGCTGGTCCCCCCAGCTCTGAGATGGGCACCGTTGTTCTCTACTCGGCCTTGCATGAGATTTGGTTGCTAGGCAATGCCAACCCTGCCTGCTTTCTTTTTGTCGTTTAAATTCGTTTGGAAAATTAAACGTTTTCATTAAGCACTTCCAGACATACAGAAAACAGAAAAAGATAGGGTACAATCAGTGTCTATGCACATGCCACCCATAGTCATTGGGATTTCTGCTTGAGGCGTAAACATGCGCACTCATACCATTTGATAAATCATTTAAGAATAAATTAGAAATACTACAGCACTTCACTCTCAAGCACTTCCACCTACAAATTAAAGTATTCTCCTATAAACAACAATACCCTTAGGACAGCTCTTAAATATGAGCGATTATCTAATATTTTAAATCCAGTTCATATTTAAATTTCCTGAGTGGCCTTTTCCTCCCAGGTTTTTTATGGATTTGGAAAGCAGTGTCAGCCCAACCAAGGACAGGACACGACACTGCATTTGGCTGTTGGGTCTCTTAATTCTCTATGACTCTAGCTTACTCCTGCCCCCTCCTCTTCTTTTTTTTTTTAAACTTTTATGACACTGATTTATTTTGAAGACATGAAAGCCAATATTTCTATTCCATATCTGGACTTGTTTGCAAGATTTCAAACAGATAGGAAGCTAGATCTAAAGGCTTGATTAAATTTCTACACAAACTAACCAGTAAATATCTGGGGAGGTGACATCTTGGCACTCTGAAAATTCTAGTAGGAGTGGGGATCAAACGTTGCCCTGTGAGTTTTGACATAAAAACGTCTTAAATATTATCAAACTAATCTCCAATATTTAAGGATGTGTTTTCCACACACCAGACACTTAAAAAGAAGAGAAAGAGATTCACGTGTTCCGTCATGGTAGACTTGCTCTGTAATTGAAATGGAAACACTTCCTTCTTTATTATTTTGGCTGACACCCCTGTAATAACCAGTATGATAGCTACTCATGTACTAAGAGATTAACATGCTCATCATCAAGAGAATCCAGACATACGAGAGGTCGTGGGGAATGATTGGTGGTCCAGAAGGAAATAGGCGGGTGGTGGTGGAGGGGGTGGCCCATTGAATTTAAGGCTTGGTTTTCCTGGCCCCACCCCTGACACTGGCCTTGGGGGGTGGACGCAGAAAAGAGTGCCGTGGGGTAGCTTGAGACATGATCTTACTTGGTTTATTTCCAAGCGGCCAGGTGCGCTCTCCCGTTCATCTGTGGAAATGTGATTTTCCTTTTCATTCTCATGAGCATTCTGATTGACACGATGGGTTGGGAAATGTCGATCAGGCCGATGTGGCTCCTCCCTGTTTCCGTATCCGGTGTAAACCACAGCACGAGTTCCTCTTTGCTAAGCACCTGAAGGGATGGCAGCTGGGTCGATGCAGCCATCTCCTGACCCAACGGTGGGACGTTTGTCACCAACTGTGCCGCGCCAGTGGAGGCGTGACATTCTTCTCCTGGCTCTTCTTCTCCCTAGTAGTTTTCTTTCAGGTGTCTTTGGGTCTGCCTGTAGCTTCACAAATGTCCCCATTCCTAGAGCATGCTGAAAGGAAGCCACAGTTTTCTCCAAGTATGTGTTGATCAATGCTGCATCATCCCCAATGTTACAGTCGTCTCTCGGGCCTGTTCCGCACTGGACCGGCACCGCCTCTTCCTGCTGGGGACGCCTCTGCGGCCACGCATTGCCACGGCTAGTCCACTGCCCTCTGCCTATTTTCTAAGAAGGAAATCAAGGTTCTAGCAGGCTTCTAGGCAGTGATTTTCCCTTCGCAGTTAATGTTCTGGTGAAAACGCGGTCCAGTTGGTATCACTTCATCAGCCATCTCTAAACTGGGCTGAACCCATTCATGGTCCTGAATAAAAGGCGTTGCCACCCCTTCCAAAGTGGTCATTCGTGGCGCCTCCTTTCTCGCATAGTCTGTCTCCACCCTAGGGATCTTTGTATAGTGATGGAAACAAGACGTTACCTTCTAGCTGAGTCTGACTGATGGCAAGGTCATTGATGTCACATTGGCACTGCACTCGCTAGGTTTTCGATGGCTATTGTTTCTGGAAAGTAAAGAGCCCGACCTTTCTTCCAATGTACCTCTGAGTATACTCCAAGGTCCATGATCCTTGGGTTAGCAGCTCAGGAACAGTTAACGGTTTACAACAACCAGGGACTCCTTCATAGCACTTCATATACATAGTATATGTAAATAAACATCATCATATAGCTGATCCTTTTCTTACTTATTGTCCCTACCCTTCTTGGCAGTAATCTCATGGGAACCAGGACCCTGGTCTGTTTTGTATGTCACTGTATGCCTAGAGCCCAGAAGAGAGATGCCCAAAAGTGATTTAATAAAGCCAAGTATGTCTGAGCAAATTGCACCTCTCAGCTATGAGGGGAATTCTTTATCCTGCAGCTAAGGCTTGGGCAGACCTACACTGAATCTAGGTACTGCCTCTCTCCAGGCTGAGCAGAGCCCAGTGGTGGGAATTCCCGGGACTGTCACTTTAAAGACCACGAAGGAGCCGGAAGGGGACTTCTGAGGAGCAGAGGAGACGGAGTTATTGAAGAATAGTTGTATCTCTGATCTTAATGAGGGAGAGAATCTGTTGTATCTATGAAGAATTTAAAGAAGTAGGTCAGACAGAAGGCAATATCTTCAGGTTTATAGAATACGAATTCGATAGTCAGACTTGTATGGTCTGCAGCCACCCAGCTTGCCAGACCCCCAGGTGTTCATTTAGAGAAACTTCTTGATCTTTTTTGTGAAGGGATTGGTCATGGTAGACCTAATGAATGTTCATAAATAATCGTCCATGTGAGCAAGAATCCAACACAGCCTCTCAGGTCTTCTGCCCAGTTAGCTCTGGGACATTACTTTTTCAATCACAGAAATTACTAGAACTAACCGATGCTCACCATCATCATCATTTCTTGAGGTTCCCATAGCAACCACAGGACTTCCCCTTCAGGAGTCAATGGTTTACCACCCATAGATGTATATCCTAGAGAAATAAAAGCTGTATCACAAACAGACATATGCACACCCATGTTCATTCCTGTTATTACTCACAATAACAACAAAAGATGGAAACAACCTACGGGTCCATCAGTGGACAAATGGACAAACATCGTGATGCCCACAGGAGACTTCTATGCAGTCCTAGGAATAATATTGAACCCATGATACACCTCACAGCGCAGATGAATCTGGAGAATTTATACCGAGTGAGTTCACAAAAGGGCACCTATTGTCTGAGACCACTAGTATAAAAGGTCAACAATAGATTTACACACAAAAACATTCTTTAACAATTACCAGGGATGGGGAGAGGAAGGAGGGAGACTCCCTAGCTAGCTAGCACTCATTCACTCACTCACTGCCATGGGTTGTGACTCAGTGGTCCTCTAGGTCAGTGGAGAACTGCCTCTGGGTTGCAGAGACTACCTTTTCCAGGTGTCGAAAGCATCAGCATCTGTCAGTGCCTGTGCAGGGGAAGGCAGTGCACAGCCTGGATAAGTCAACACCATGTGACCAAGGCAGCGTAAGACAAAAGTGATATGTCAGAATCACAGTAAA